TCAAAAGGGGTCAATTCGCCCGGACATTGTCCGTGTCCGGACGCTTATTTCAGCGCTTGTCACTCAGATATTCCGAGCAGCCATCATCTATGGTTTATTGAGAATGGGGGACCTTCGGTGCCAACTAAGTTAACAATAAAGTTTCTTGTCAAGAAAATACTTTGGTTGTTTGAAGACAAACTATGTTTGATTTTGTTTACTGTCGTCATGTACAGTGTGAAATGCATTGATAGAGAATTTTGCCAGTGGTGTTTCCTTAAACTCTACCAATTTCAAAGGATTCATCAGCATGTGCCAAGGTGTATTTGACCTTGATGTACATCTCATTTGAATTCCTACATTCAGATATCATTGGAAAGTCAGGATTTAAACATAGGACTTAACAGTTGGTAGTTAATTGCCGTGACTACTATGGCTGGACAATATATTTTCTCACATTGGCTGATGTATCAGTGAGCATGGCACTTTGATACTAACCACAGGGAACATGATTTTCCGTTTGTTCGTTTCTAGAGTTTTACGTAGATTTTCCAGTCTGGTTTCCTTTAAGTAGGTAATGGCAAGCTAAGAATATCAAGTCGTTTGGTTGTGAGGATTAAGCTGAGATGCGTCTGTGTGCTCAGTGTCGTCATTGGCATGCATGTAAAAGAACATCTTCATTAGCTCAGGCATTGAGTGCAGAAAAGTAGAATGTTGAACCCCATTTCATTTCTCTTTCTCTTTCACCAAAATGAACTTTTGGCATGTGTGAAAACATATCCTTCAGATAAAAATGTTAAGGTGCTAGTATCAACAACATCCTAATGCACTTTATTTACATTTCAGTTGTCAAATGGCCAAGGCAATGGACTTTTGACTAAAATGTTCAAGGTTCAAATGTTAGTAATAAAATGATCAAAAGACCTAGAATTGTTGTATTGTCAGTGTAAAAGTGACCCATCCTTTCAATTCATGGAGCTGCGGTGGTTCAGTGAGTAAGCCACTGGCTGTTTAAACTGGAGGTCTCGGGTTCGAGAAAGTTCCTGTGCAAAAATTTGCTTATAGTTATAGCACACTATTTGACATATGCCTGTCTTCATTATTGCAGTCGGTGCAGAATGTTATACATGTATGATCCCCATTTCATTTCATTTACCTTTCAATCAATGTTCATAATAGAATGTTAAACCAGTCCTTTCTATCGAGGTTTATAATAGAAGTTTCCCATCCTTTCCTTCAAGGTTTATACATGTAATAGAAGTTTAACAATGATGTTATTGGTGCCTTTAACTCATCAATCATGAGGATAATAGTATAGTGTTAATTAAGATAATTAAATGTATAATAGATGTTTTAATTACAAGGTCAAGAGGTTAATTAGCATCATACAATATCTCGGTGATGTACTGGTATGCCTTTTACAGCATTACACCAATCTCATCTTCATGATGTCACGTTACTACAACATAAAATGAAATGGTGTTAAACACCCGTCTTTACCACAGCATAAAACCCCATTTGTGATTGATTGAAATGAATAGTTGTATCATCTGGGATGGGATGGGACAAAAACCTGAAGTCCCATGTACATGTTGGCATGCTTGTAAAAGAACACCTGACAGTTAGAATTCAAAACAAGAGTAGTCCTTAACATACTGTATGGCGAATATCTGTCTTCATTAGCTAGGATGGAGCAAAAGAGTAAGATGTTAAACCCCATTTCATTTCATCCAGGCTTTGATAGGGTAATTATCCTTGTTGTGTTTTGGAGTGGAGATAGATATCCAGATTTTAGGATGATTATCCATACAATGAAATGGGGTTTAAAGTCCTATTATTCTGTCTTACTTTTGTAACAATCAGGCTTTAAGTGCAATCAGTGGATTTTACCTTTGTTTCTAACAGTTTCAGCAGGCCCGTAGCCAGCTTGCTAGCTTCAGAGGGGCAGTGAAGTTTTTAGGGGGGGGGGGGGCACAGTCTACAGCAGGTATTTTAGAGCTATGATCGGCAATTTTTTTTCGGGGGGGGGGCATTGCCACCCCTGGCCCCCCCTCTGGCTACGGGCCTGAGTTTCAGTATAACTTAGTGAGTTTGTTGTTTTTAGGTGTTAATGTATTTTGTGTCATGTCCGTATGTTTGTCTTGTGTAATTGTTTGTCTATAGTGCAGTCCCCCTGCACTTATTATTAAGTGTAATCAGTGGATCTTACTTTATATATAATAGTCTGACTATAACTTGGAGTGCACCATTGTATTAAGCTGATCTTAACATCAGCGTTATAGAGATGCTTCACTGTACATCCACATGTAATCACTATAACTTACCGTAGTCTTGGGTCCTAACATCAGCGCTATAGAGACGCTTCACTGTCTGTATGTAATCACTCTATATGTAATCGGTGGATTATTAGTGCTATAGAGACATTTCACTGTCTCTATACATGTACATGTATGTAATGATATGGTTTGTGTATGTAATTATAAGTAATTAGCTGTAGGTATCTTTACTGATAAGTGTATGATATTTAGTTTGAAATGGTAATGAGAAGAGAAAACAAGTTGATGTGGGTTTATAATGACTGTTTAACTACCTTATGCACTGTATCATACTTAAAGTAGCAGCTAGCCGCAATGGCATCCTTAAAGCATCAGCCAGCTGCAGTGGCATCCTTAAGGTAGAAAGGAGCTGCAGTGGCTCAATTCGTACCTTCTTATGCAACACTATATCATCCTTAAAGTAGCAGTGAACTGCAGTGGCTCAATTCATACCTTCTTGTACAACAGTATATATCATCCTTGAATTAAGGTAACAGGGAGCTGCAGTGGCTCAATTCACACCTTCTCAAACAACCCTGTATTATCATCCTTATAGTAGCAGGGAACTGCAGTAGCTCAGTTCACATCTTCTTATACAACACCATATCATACTTAAAGTAGCAGGGAGCTGCAGTGGCTCAATTCATACATTCTTGTACAATAGTACAGTATACATCATCCTTAAATTAAGATAATAGGGAGCTGCAGTGGCTCAATTCTCACCTTCTCATACCACGCAGTATCATCATCCTTAAATTAAGGTAATGGGTAGCTGCAGTGGCTGTAATAGAGAGCTGCATTGGCTCAATTCACACCTTCTCATACAACACTGTATCATCCTTATAGTAGCAGGGAGCTGCAGTAGCTCAATTCATACCTTCTTATACAGCACCATATATATCATCCTTAAAATTAAAGTAGCAGGGAGCTGCAGTGGCACAATTCACACCTTTTCATACAACACTGTATCATCCTTAAAGTAGCAGGGAGCCAATAAAAAGTGGCTTGAAGAATAAGGCACTAGATTGTTAACCAGGTGGTGCAGGATGGAGGTCCAGGCAAGGAACATGGTCTAGTCATTCGGATAGGACAGAAAACTTTGGCCTGCATTTGAAAGAACCACTGACAATTGCTATCTGGGAAAAATTTCCTTCATTGTACATAATATTGTATGGCGTATGTGCCTGTCTTTACTAGCCAGGTTGATGAAAAAAAGTAGGATGATAAACCCCATTTTATTCAATCATACCATCTTAAACATCATTATGTCATACTTAATGTAGCAGATTGTTATTTATTTTAAGAAAGCCACAACATTGAATCTTTGCATGGAAGGGGTTGGATGGCCGAATGGTTAACGCATGCGCGTTGGATCAGTAGGTCTGTCATTGAGTCAAGTGGCGTGGTTTCGATCCCTGCTTGTACGTGACAAGGAGTAGGGCTCTCTGTCTAACCTCGTGGGTTTTCACCCAGGTTCTCGGTTTGCTCCCACTGCTAAAGATCCCTATGTGCAAGCGAATCATTGAAATAAATTTGAACCATATTTTAGTCCTGAAATGAGCTAGTTTGTGTCCAGTGGACGTTAAATCCCATTTCTCTCTCTCTGTTTGCACGGAGTTGAAACTTGCTGTATTGCTCTCTTGCTTTTTTGCCAAACATATTTCATAGTTTAAGTGGACATTAGTTTACAAATAGCTGTTTTAATAAACAGGTTTGAGAAAGTACAGAGATTGTCAAATGGCAAGTGTAAACAGACTATCTAGTGTCAGTAGCCTTAATGGTTTACATAAAGTTTGACTTTTTAATATCTATTTTCATAGGCTAAAACATTAGTAGGCTCTGAGCCACGCAAGCAATTCTTATTCACTTACCACAAAAAATAAAGCATTCAAGTTTTCACCGTACCTTGTGTTTAAGCCAGAGAGAAATCTGGAAGTATTTAAAATTTCTGATAGACTCTTTACTTGCTTCGTTTGTTTTTATAGTTTGGTGTTCTCTATATAATGGCCTTCATTTAGTATATACAACATCTAAACGATATGTAAAAACATGTAGTAATTAGCCATCATGTATTTCAAGGGAGATAAATCTTCCATGGTCAATTTGCGATTTGTTTTAGCGTAAACCCTTTTTATGAGATGGTAATTTAATGGTAAACTAATTTAAAGGCCCACAGTTTAATGTGTTTCAAGAAAACTATTGAATCTTTTATCATTTCAAGGGGAGTTGGGTTGTCAAGTGGTCTAACGTGTGTGATTTAGATTATAAGGTCTGTCATTGAGTCAAGTAGCTTGGTTTCTATTGTAGGCCTATGGGACAAAGATTAGGGTCTGGTTGTCTCCCACTGCTAGAAACCGCTAGATGCAAGCAAATTATTGAAATAAAATTGTATCATATGTAACTCCTAAAATGGACCTGTTTTGTGTCCAGTGAATGTTAAACCTCTCTCTCTCTCTCTCTCTCTCATAATGCAACAATCTTTATGGACAACTGAACTGAGCTGCTTTGGACATATGTTTAATTGGATGACAAACTAACTATGTTTTTGGTTTTTTTTGCAGATTCATTGTAGACTTTACTTCATTAGTGATATGAAGAAGCTTTTCGATGTTTTAAAATTCATAAGTGGTTGGCATTGCCTCGTATCACTCATGTGGCTAGCAACCTATCTTTACTGGTAGTTTTATTTATTCTTTTTTTTTTCAGCTGCATTTTGGGGTGATATAGCTTTATCTGATGAAGATGCTAAACGTGAACAAAAATACTTGCAACAATTAAACAATACATTATTCGAACTTCAAGTAGAGGACCCGAGGCATTATACATACACGCAAACTGAAAATGATAAAAATGACAAGGGAAAATCGAAACCGAAGGAAAAAGAACCATTGATGAAGATAAAACAAATGGATGAAAGTGTGGTCAAAGAGAAACGTTATCTTAGAAAAGTTTTAAAGGAGAAAGTTCAAATATTGAAAGGAATGTGCAAGATGGGGTAAGATTGTTTAGATATTGTTCAACTCCCAAGGTAGAGATGAAAAAAAAACTTTCTATTGAAATAGTAAGTGCAGGAGGACCGCACTACATGCAAAACAAAACCGATGAGAAAAACCTGCTGACAAGACAAACTACTTAGAAACTGATTAAACATACATTATGCAAGAGATAAATCTGCCTATTGTAGGTCTTTTTTTAGGCCTGAAATGTTATCTAAACTATTGATCTAGACTTTGTATATTATCATACCAACATTGGTAATGACGATCAAGGCTATAGTCTAAATTTGAATTGCAAATATCTTGGTTCAGAGTGAAGCAATTTTACTGAAATTTTCAGCATATTCAGTTTTCATTATCTGTTTTCTAACCATTATAATGAGAACTGTCAGCTCTTTATCTAATCTTGCCTATTGCCCGTTTTTTTAAGACACTGACTTATTACCTTAAGTCAGTAGTGCAGGACAGAGGGCCTGGAAAGGGAAAATGCCTAAATGAAACCTGGACAGTTGTAATTCATAGATAACATTTCCTTCATAGCACACTGCATATGCATGACCTATCCCCATCTTCATTAGCCCGATAGGTACAGGTTAAAAATGGCACCTGGACAACCACCACACCAGAATGGATTATTATCCTTTCTGAGTCCGATATACTTTTCTACACAAACTGGCTGAGCATACACCATGTGGTGTGCTATGTGGGAAATTTGCCTTAGACTGCAGCGTTTGTACCTACTATTCATCAAATTTCAACTGTTAAGAGGACCTTGATTTTCTGCCACTGACAAAAAGTTAAACCATGCTGAATAATCCAGAAAAAGTTTCTTGGCCAACACCAGGATCGGACCTCTGACTTCCTGGTTATAGTGAGCCAGTTTTATTGTGTCAGCCAATTTATGGACTAAACCATTTGTCTTTGGACACAAATCATAACTATAAATAAATAAATAAATTAAATCATATAGGGTAGACGCAATTACCTTTCCGAATCGGAATCGGAAATAAAATTGAGCCATATGTTAGTCTCAAAATAACCTAGGGGGTTGGATGGCCAAATGGTTGGCACGTGCGCGTTGTATTGACAGGTCTGTCATAAAGTCAACTGGCATGGTTTCGATTCCCCAGTTGTATGTGACAAGGAGTAGGGTCGTCTGTCAAACCTTGGGGGATTTCTCTGGGTCCTCCGTTCCCTCCCACGGATAAAGATCCATATGCGCAGGCAAAATAAAACTGAACCATATGTTAATCTCAAGATTTCTCTCTTCTTTCCAATAAATATCAAATATACCAATGATATACAATAAACAAGCTGAAAGCTTATTATATGGCTACATTTCAGAGCCTCGTCTAAGGATTTGGTCGTGCACGGCAATGTCGTAGGTGCGAGCCACGTGAACACCGTAGGTGAAAGCCTGCGCGAGGCTGGGGGCTGGGGGCTGGGGGCCCGACCCCAAAAATTTTTGAAAATTTACTCCCTTAGACTCGATTTCTGAGCACTTAAAAAATAGTTTCGGAGATTTGATACACTATTAGTTTTGGCATCTTGTTAAACCATGGATTGATTAATACCCTGTAAAATCGAGATCAAAACAGACAGAAATATACCCATAAAACAATCAGAAAGACGATTTTGTAAACCTACACACCATTATATAGTATTGGCCCATGTGAAAAACCTTGTCAGCAATTTTCAAAACGTATGTATGTTGCCGCCCAGTCTTCAACTTTTGGGCTCAGTAGGCGGCACAGTTAAACGAGGCTCTGCTACATTTGACTTTGTATATTTCAAGAATATATTGTTACACAATTAAAATACAGATTTATAGGTCGCGTCGGAGGTCACATGAGCGACTTTTGACCTATGATGTCACACATTTGATTAACCAATCAGCTTTGATGTTACTAGTGGATTACCCACAGTTCCGTGCAAAACATGCCTAAGCTTGCTGTAACAGACCGTTTCATTGGCTAATCCCTCACATCATTCAGAACATGTCAATGATAACAACTCTTCCAGATCACAGTGTAGTAAAGACAAGTAAAACAAAATTTTGAACTATTTAAACAAAACGAAATAGGATCTGTGTTTTAATCAGATTGAGATTAGGGTTTCATGATGAAGGCAATTCAAAATAAATGAATCCATAGTTGATATACTATACCTCCCCATCCACTCACTAATTCAAACATAAATATATTAACAGATGCCTATAAACATTTCTATCATAGGCTATTTCTATTAAGATGGCATATTTTTCATTTTTTTTTGCCTTTCTACAATTACAAAAACTTTTTTTTTACTTGATGTCAGACATATAATGACAACTTACAGGAAACAGATAGTAGAAAGTTTAGTAGAAGCAGAAATGAATAGAGTTAGATGTTTTGGAGAACTTGACAGGTTACTTTATAGACTACAAAGATGTAGTCAGATAAAACTAGAAGCTCCTTTCAATTCCATATCTTCTAAATCAGGGTATTTTTACCACAATACACACCATGGTAAATTATATTGGTTATACTGGTAAAGGAATGAAATGGATTTCAGATTGTTGGGTGATCTTTAATGGGCTACCAATGTGTACACCATGCTGACAAAGTGTTATAAATACATGAATTCACAAAACCCTACCATAAATAAAAAATCCTGAAATATGAATTTATTTTGCAAAGTTTTTGTGCGTTACCAAAAATGACCGGCAGTGAAAATTTTTAAGTGGAAGCCCTGGTACGGGACCTCGATACAAAAAGTGAACTCATAGTGTTGGTGGGGTGGGTGGGAAGCATGTCAAGCCCTGCCTCTCCCCCATCTGCACCTAAATACCTCACTCTACTGTAGAAAGTTGAAAAAGGGGGATACAACCACTCAATCCTTCAAATTGTCCCGTTTCTAAAATTAGCTAACAGGGAAAAACAATGCTTGTGAGTAAAGTAATATTTTGATGAGGAGGAATGCCAACTGCCAGTAATGTTGTGTCTGGGTGGGGGATAACTAGAGCCTGTATGGAATTCTTATTTGATGCAACAGTTAGTGTACAAAAGTTTGCTGGAATGCCTTCTTAACAACATGCTGCAGTATATTTATGGCAAATTATTTTTTTCTTTGCCTGTAGATTTTGAAGTTCAAGAGATAAATATGCAGTTCAAGATAATTATTATATTTTCACAAAAAATCACAAGAATGTAAAAAAAAAAAATTCCAACAGATTGTTGGTAATCATTTTTGGTAGAAGGGGCCTTATTTACATTACAGTAAGGGGCCCCATGTAACCTTCAAATCCTTCTCATATGTTCATTTGTAGTCTCTGACTTAAAGATACATTATGTAAGATTTAGAGCTGGCCGTTTTTGCTAAGGTTAAAATAGATAATGCAAAATGAATATATTGAAAATTTCATTTATAATTTACTTTATTCTGAGCCCAGTTATCACTATTTGTAGTTTTGACAAGATGGGTGCATTGATTGTTTATAATCGTAACCACGATACTGGTATATTTGAAATCACTCCTCCATTTTTGAATTAAATCATTAAATGGCCGAACCTTTCTAATCTATTTAAAATCTTGAGCATCCAATGGCATCTAGAGTTGTTTATGGGCTTGTCATGTTAATAAATGTCTAATTAATAAATTATATAACATTTAAAGCCTAAAGAAAGAAAGACTTGCAATAAGCAAATTTACCTCTTTAAGAATAGACCATGTAAGTTGTAGTTGAGTAGAGTGTGTTTAATAGGTATAGTGTTGATAGTAACCTGTCGGGCTGTTGACGGAACACATGTTATATTAGAATTATCAAAACTCTTATCTACAGTTAGTTACAAATTCTCTGTATGTATCAACCATGCTAAATGCTTACAGAGCCATTATTAGACATTTGTTTTGTATCAACCATGCTATTTGTTTACTAGTTCAGTATCAATCATGAAGTGTTTGCAGGGTCATATCAATCATGCAGTATCAATCATGATGTGTTTGCAGGGTCATATCAATCATGCTATTGTTTAGATGATCAGTATCATCATCTGTTTTAAAAATCCAGTGCTTTCGTGCTTTTTTCTTAGTGTTCAAAGGGCTCTGTGTGTTTTGAGTTCCACTGGATTTGATTCTGGTTGAGTATAGTTCCTATAGTCGATCGGATGGTATGGAAAACCGAGGTCATGTATATATTCTTGGCAGCACATGAAAAAGATCACCTGGCTGTTGCAAATCGATATATGACTAGGGGCTGGGTGGCCGTATGGTTAACACGTGTGCATTGCATCATAAAATCTGTCATTGAGTCAAGTGGGGTGGTTTCGATTTGCCGCTTATACATGACAAGGAGTAGGTTCACCTCTCCAACCTTGTGGGTTTTCTAAGGTTTCTCTGGTTTCCTCTCACTGCTAAAGACCCCTATATGCAAGCAAATTAATGAAATAAAATTGAACCATACGTTAGTCCCGAAATGACCTAGTTTTCGTTGAGTGGACATTAAACCCCATTTCTCTCTCTCTCAACAAAATTTGCCTTACAGCACACTGTGTATGCTCATTTTCATTAGGCAGGCTTGTGCAGAAAAATAAGATATGAAGCCCCATTTCATTTTATTTCTGATGTGGCTGACATTTATTCAATAAGCTCTGGTCTGTACCTCAATTAAACCAATGACTAATCGGACCATGGTATCCACTTTTTCTGAGTGATGGCAGCAACCAGATGATTACACTCATTCTATTCCGTCCAAAACAGATTTTGATGAGAAAATTCACAAAAGGGGATGGGTTCTACTTTGCGTTAATAGCCATTTCCGCGTGGGAAAGTTGATGATGTAGTAATTTCAGCACATCATTATTCAAAAATATTATTATATGATAGCTGGCTTTATTGAAAAATGACCAACAATTACCATTCAATCACACAAGATTGTAATTTGAAGTAATTTTCAAAATTCTGTCGTAAAGTATTATTGATAAATAATAGCCATTGGTAATACTTATTGAGAAATTAGCGA